TATATATATATATGTTAGGGTGAGTTTGAGTCGGCGGAGTGGTGTAGTGCCGCACCGTTGTTCTTCTTGTTTGGTAAAATTATTTTTTGTCTACATTCTTAAAAAAATGCAGCTAAGAACTATGTTTTTCTACCATATTTTGTTAATTGTGGTGGCTGCTAGAAAATTGTTGTCTAATTTTTTTTAAGAAAAAAGATCATAATAACCACTACAACTTTTTGAACAACAAATTCTTTTTCAACAGCTTCGAAACAGATTCTTTAAACAGCTGCACCCAAACAAACTCCTAAAATTGAGTTAAAAATATTACATAGAGATCACCTGAAACTTAATATTAGCAGATCAATCGTCCTCTTTAATCCATTCTTGAGATTCTCACTCAAATATCAAGTTTCACGATAAACCCCCAATCCGTATTTTTTATTTTTATCAAATACTAAATAGTTTGATGATCGCACGAGTAAATACATCGGTTTAATAGTTCAAAAAAAATACCAAAATGGTTAATTTGTAAATATCAATATTTTGGTAATTGGTTTGTATGTAATTATCCCAACATATTTAATTAATACATTATCGTAATGAATTTTATAATCATTAAATTTATTTTTGAGATGAATGCAATATAAATTTTAACTGATTTTTTATTATTACATGCTTCATAAAGCAAATCAAAATAAAAATCTATTATAACTAAAATTTAATTAGGATAAATATATATACATGAATCACCCTATAAAATTCCTTAGCTAAAATTCAATTATGTTAAATATACTCATAAAAAATCAAATCATAACAAATATTATATATATGATATATAAACTAGTAGAGCATAAATTTATTTGTATTTGTCTCTTTTTTTACTATATATATATATATATATATATATATTGATGCGTGCTAGAAAATTCATGACGGTAGAGTAATCGATCATAGTCATAGCGTTGCATGAGAATTCAACACACACTCAGATAAAAATGAATCAAGCTGTGATCACACCAGAAATTTTTACGTGAAAAACCCGTAAAAAGGGAAAAATCACGGGGTCTGGCCCAGTTGTAAAAATCCACTATAAGTTGATGATTACAAATGCCCATTGTCCCACAGGCGGGAAATAGTTACTAATTTTTCACATTACAACGTCAATTGATAAGGTCTAGTAAGCGGCGGTTGACAGAGGACAGCGATGGCTAGCAACAGTCGATGACGGTCGGTTGTAGTTGACAGAGGTCAGCGGTGATCGGCGGCGTTCAACGGTGGTCGGCGTTGGTCGACAGAGTTTGGCGGTCGGGGTCGACGGTCAGTGGTGGTCGACGGCAATCGACGATGACGATGATGATCTTGGACTTGAGCTCCTTCTCAAAACCTCAAGTTCTCTCTTATGCCTCCTCCCCTTTGTTTTGGGTGCAATTAATTAAGAATATGAACCATTTTGATCGAACGGTGCGGATAACTTCCTTTGATCGGAA